TCTTTGGAGTTGAAAATTGGACATGGATTTAGTTTTCTATATACTTTTCTGTCCTCTTTTCTTGGATTTTAATTTTCTTCATTTTATGTTTTTTTTTTTTTGCATTTTATGCTTTTCCATTATTAAATTATTTTTAACATACTTTATTTGCAAAATTTTTGCAGATTTTTGGTATTCTTTGCATTTCAGTTATCTTTTATAATCGTCATTATCATCATCATCATCATCATCATCATTATTATTATTATTATTATTATTATTATTATTATTATTATTATTATTATTATTATTATTATTATTATTATTATTATTATTGAATTTATGACCCACTCAACCTAAAACATGTATGCTCAATTAAAAAAATTCTCTATTGCCAGCTTTAGCTGTATATAAGGGAGAGAGAGAGAGATTAAAAACGTTGGGCTTTATATAGGGAGCTTGAAATCCGGTGAAAGTTATAGAACTGGGCTATATACAACGTTGTTAGTGTTAGAAATCGACTTTACTCCTTACATTAAACTAAAAGAACCCAACTTTTGCCATAGGTGGCATTTGATAAATTTGAAGTCTGAAGTTTGAAAAGTCAAAAAGTTATTATTCATGTTAAAAATTTAAAAAGTAGAAATGATTTTCTGCTTTTTAGAGGTTTTGAAAAGATAAGATTGTTTTGGTTGGAGTGATTCTCCAATATCTAAAAGTGTAAAGTTTACTATTTTACCCTTAGAAATAGATAATTTGTTAATATTATAAATATTAATAATAAATATTTAATAATAATAATTATTATTATTATTATTATTAAATAGATGATAGTAATGAAGGCACTAATGCCATTTCATCACATCTGAAATGCCATTTAAAAGGTGTCTTACAATTTTAGACACCTTTTAAATGTTCAAATAGATATAATCTCAAACACCCCTTAGTTCCGAAAAATAAGTTTTTCAGATGTTTAATGTTTAAAAAGTGTTATCAAACACCACCTTACTCTTATGTTTTGAAAGGAGTAACTAGGATTTAATGGTCATTTCACAAAAAACTTCACTAATGGCAATTTCTGACAAGGGGTTCTATAGAGATTTAAAAAAGTGAGGGTGATTTAAAGAGAATTGGCCAAAAGTGAAGGGGAGTTTTATATATCTTATATGCACACAACTCACAAAATTTCTTGGGTTGCAACACTTCCAATTGAAGTCCCAAGTGTCCCAACTGCCACCTTCCTTCGTCCGGTTAGGCGATAGCCACAAATCAGCAAGAAAAGTTGGAAAAATCTACATAACATAAACATGATTGATGGATCTATGTACAGACAAGTGGTCACAAAGTTTAAGTCCCATCAAGAGACCTAGACTAATTTTATTCTGTATAACGATTCGGAAATGGAATCATTTTAGCCATCAGTTTTTGGGTCGACAGTCCAATCGTCCAGTTCAAACAAACAGCCTATTTTACAAAAAATAAAAAATAAAAAATAAAAAATGGCCAAAAACTGTTGGACAAATTAACAGTTCTATCACCTAGGTTAACGGGTTATTGACTTTTTTAATGGTTTTTGGCCAAAAATCAAATTTGGGATAAAACAGAACTAGTTGCCTAGACGATTCCCAAGCCGAACAATCCGAATCAACGACAGTTCAAAAACCTTGATACACACTATATGTCTATACATACTAAAACACACATTTATCTTCTTATTACTATCATCACCATATTACAACCACTAAACAACAGTATTTTATCATCTTCTGCCTTCTATATATGAAAAATATCAGTCAAGAAAGGAAGATAAAAGAGAATTCGTGATTTCATTAATTCCAAGATTGGAGAAGTATTAACTTATAGATATACAACCGACTTTGGACAGCTTGCATGTGCAAGTTGGGAGATGTGTAACTGAATTTACTGTTGCATAACAAACTAAATTACACGTGGATAATAACTCTAAGACGCCCCCTCAAGTTGGAGCATGGGGAAGAATGCCCAACTTGGAAAGTAGCCCATGGATTTTGTCTCGTCCAAGTGCCTTAGTGAAAACATCAGCGAGTTGTCAATCATTGGGTATGTGAGATGTAGATATCCTCTTGGCATAGAGATGATCTCATTATAATCAATTTCAATATGTTTTGTTCATTTTTAAAAGAAGTGATTAACTGGGATGTGTAGAGCAGCTTTATTATCACAGCGAGAAGGAGAGGCTTAGGATGTGAAAGGCCCAAAGAAGCAAAGAATTTCTTTAGCCAAACCAGTTCACTAGTGGCAGCAACCATGGAACGAAACTTAGCCTTTGCAAATGATTGAACTACTGTGGTTTGTTTCTTGGTCTTCCAAGAAAGAGGAGAATGGTCGAGAGTTGTGAAGTACCCACTGGTAGATTGACAAGTAATGGAGCATCCGGCCCAATCCGAATCACAATAAGTTCGCAAGACAAAATGACTTGTGGAGAAAAGAAGTATCCCTTTTTTGGAGAACCTTTGAGGTAGCGAAGGATATGCATGGCAACATCATCGTCTTGTCAGTAAGGTTGGCTCATGAACCGGCTTAGTGCATGGACCGAATATGTGAGTTCAGGTCGAGTGATTGTAAAATAGACTAGCCCGCCCACGAAACATCGATGCTGCTCTGGGTGGGATATAGGTGGCCCATAATCTGGTTGTAGGTGTTGTTGCTGGATCATTGAGAATGCGTTAGGCTTAGAATTGAGCATACCAGCATCTGTAAGTATATCAAGTGTGTACTTTGGTTGGCACAAGAAGATTCCAGCTTGTGACAAAGAGATTTTTATCCCCAAGAATTCGAAGTAGCTTAAATGTCCAAGATCCTTTATTGGGAAGAAAGAACTGAGATAAGTTTTAAATACAACAATGCGAATGAATCATCTCCAACGATAATAAGATCATCAACATATGCCAAAATGGCAAGGAAATACCTAGACTGAGTGTATGTGAATAAGGTATTGTCAGCCGAGGATTGAGTGAAGCCTGGTTCTTGAGGGCTTGAGCCAATGTATCAAGCTAGTTCCTTGAGGCTTGTTTGAAGCCATAAATGGACTTATGTAAGCAATACACCCACTTGTCACCTTAGGGTAAAAACCTGGAGGGAGCATATATACTTATTCATGTAAAGTGCCATGTAAAAACGCATTGTTGACATTCATTTGATGTAGTTCCCAGTTGTGGGCTGCAGCGAGTGCAAGAAGGCATTACACCTAACAAGTTTAGCAATTGGGGACTAGTAGGTTTAGTAGGACAACCCCTTCCAATTGTGTATAGCCCTTGACCACTAGTAGGGCTTTGAACTTTTTAATGTACCTATTTAGGTTCAATTTGGTTTTGTAGACCCATTTACAACTTGTTGGTTGTAAATTTCTTGGAGTTAAATCGATTTGGCCTGAGCCCATTTCTTTTGCTCGGGAAAACAAATATCAGTGCTGGCATCAAGCTATGGCTGTTGAATTATCTGCTTTTGAATGGGTATATATGATATAAGTGGGGGTAAGTATGCATTCACCCCAAAACTTGATGGGAAGACCAGCATGGAATCGTAAGACTCTTGCCACTTCTACTAGGCGGCGATGTTTAGGTTTGATAACTCCATTTGGTTGAGGGGTTTTAGCGCAAAATTGTTGGTGGTTAATTCCATAATCACATGAATACTGCTTCAAAGGTCTATAAACAACTCAATGGGAAAGATGTTCATGTTTGCTTGACTTTGAAACAAACATTACAACAATTTGTTTTATTGTGTACAAACATGGACAACTCTTTTATTTTTTAAATTCTACTATAAGGAGCATGAGCCAATAGATGGTGCTAGATGCTTGTAGGTATGGTGGTGTGACTAGCTAGTGGAATGTAGCGCTATGCTATGATGGGAGATGAAACATTCAAGTAGTAAAGATCATTACACTTGTAACCCCCCACCCCAATCGGCCTCTTGGTTGTCATGTCTTGTAAAATATAAAAGGTGTGGAAGAACAACACAACACAATTGTAATCAGATGTAATAAGTTTGCTTATAGAGATCAGGTTACATTGAAAATTGGGTATGAACGAAACACTGTGTGAAGTCAAATCAGGAGTAAGTGTGACATCATCCCCTTGGGAGGTAATTTTAGGGAGTTGAACAGGTTTAATCACAATCACAGAATTCAGAGTTCCACTATTTGAAGTAATGGATGTGGGGACCATGTGATTAAAGGCTCCACTATCTATCTAGACCCCAGATTCCTGAATTAAGGATCCAAGTGGGTGGGCAGATGCCTTATCAACGAAATTTGCAGATATTTATGTATTATCTAGAACCCATATTCGGAGTTGCAGTGGCAGTGACATTTTGGATGGAATACTTCCCACTTGATTTGTCTGGTCTTGATCCTGATCCACGATCTTGACCGGCTGGTGATTGAGACTTCCCTTTGTTATCACGATTTGGAGGGTAACCAACTAGTTCATAGCATCGGTCTTTGGGGTGTTCAGTTTTTTTGCAATGATCACAATAATAGCGTTTGAGGTGAAAGACCCCAGATACATTGCTTTGGAAATACCTGTCCTCAAGATCTTTTCATGTCTCTAGCATTGTTCATGTAGGCTGCACTATCATGTAGATCGCGTGCTAAGGCATTGTAAATCCATGAAATCACTATGGAATTGTAGCATTTTCAAGCTCGTTGCTCCATCGGTTTGCTTGAAATCTAGTTTCTCAATTGATCTATCTACGAAACCAACTTTGTTCTTGATCCATAGAGCATTCAACATTGCTCTGTGACAGTGGTGGCAGGGTTTTTCCATGAAAAATATCAGACAAGAAAGGAAGAAGTAAGAGAATTCGTGATTTCATTCCAAGATTGGAGAGGTATTTATAGATATAGAATTGACTTTGGAGAGTTTGCATGTGCAAATTGGGAGATATATAACTGAATTTAAGGTGGCGTAACAATTAAATTACAAGTGGATAATAACTCTAAGAATATATTCTAGGATAATTTTTTTTTTTTTTTAATTTCTGCTTACTTATTACACATTTTTTCTTGTTTTCTTCAAGCCAGACTACTTTTCATCTCCTCAACAAGATGTGGCATGTGGGTCCCCTTGACGCACCACGTCATCAGACGGATACCCTTCTTTGGAGTAGGTGGGGTCCCTATTATCACAAGAGGGACGATGCCATAACCGTCAAGTGGAATCATGTGGACAGGGGGACCCCACCCCAGATCAACCTGATTGAACCCTAATCGACCCCACTCAGAGATGACCAACTTTTTGTAAGCGATAGAGGGATCATATGGGTTCTCACCAGGTTCCGAGAAAACACCATCCATCCATTTGCTGAATTCTTCTTTCTGCCTAGATTTCTCTTCTTGTACCAGTTTAACCACCTCAGCATTTGACGCCAGTGATACAGTCTTGCTAGATGCCTTTATGCTTACTGGGAAGAAACAGTTACCGTAGAAACCTTCTGGTAATGGCGGGTTGCAGAGTTGACGGCCATTAGCAAGGTACATGAGTGTAACTTTTGTGTCACAATGGAAGCTTACAGCTCTAGTTCGGCTACTCCAGATGCTGGCAGCAATGGCTTCAAAGGTTGTGCAAGTTTGGCCCGTAGACTCTTGGAACTCACGCTTAAGCTGACTGATTCGGTCTGATGAAATGTCAAAAGCGGCTTTCTCTAGCTTGTAGTCATGCAATAAGAGAGGTGGTGGCTGTGGCAGTAGCTTTTGCTTGGTCGTTGCTTGTGCTAATAGACGTGTAGGAGTCGGAATAACTTCTCTGCTCCATACAGGGGCAATGCTTGGGCTTGGCTGCTGGAGGTCTCTAGCAAACTCACCCACAGCTTTTAGGAACTGAGCAGCTCCTAGGCCATCACACATGGCGTGGCTGACTACAAGGCCTATGACAAATCCACCGCATGTGAACTGGGTTACCTGTAAATGATAAAACAAGGATTTTATTAGAGTTTTGGGTAAGTAAATCTGTCATACAGAAGGGTTATTAAAAGAACGATCTGAATTATTTCAATTTTTTTGAATATTCTATATATATATATATATATTACGTTTTTTGTTTTTTTTATAGATTTTTTTTTATTTAAGACTTACCATATTTTATCTAGAAGAATGGACCACATCATTTATTATTTCATTTGAGACCACAACTTATGCTTATATGATAAATTTGATTTTAGTTTTTTATTTACTTTAGAAAGTTAAATCAGGTTTAATTTGCAATTAACAATTTATGCTTTTTCTTTGTACAAAGATGGAGAGATGATGCTAACATAGACAATTACATTTTATACATGTAATACATATCCAATTATTTTTTATTTAAATAGTTGGTTTTAATTTTTGTTATCACATTTTAATTAACTTTAATTAAATTATTAATTAGCTTCATTTGGTTATTTAACCATTTTACTAATTATTCAATCATTTTCTTTTTTTTTGGAATAATCATTTTTAATAATTATTGGATCATTTTGTATTTCTTTTTGTAAACTTAATAATGCATATTTTATATATTAATTACGTACATGAATTAATGAATTGAATAATTAGTTTTATGTACTAAATTATTAATTAATCTGAATTAGATAAGCTATTAGTTGAATTAAATTATTTAAGTTAAAGTAATTAACTTTAATTGAACTACGGGGCCAATTTAAAGTCAATGACCTATATGGTGTACAAATTAAACATAAATGAATCAACTTATGTGGACCTATAAATTGTTAAATTAAACTAATAAATTTTCATTGAATTAAGGGGTCAAGTTGGCTTATAAAAAAAGTGGGTCAAGTTGAATTGAATGACCAATATAGTTTACGGGTTAGACATAATGGGTCAATTTATGTGGTCCGGGTGGTTTAAAAAATACCTGTTTTGCGTATTAAAAAAAACCAGTTTAATTTGTCTTTAATAATTATGTCAATTATTTTCAATTAACCACAATTTTCAATAACTGTGGTTTTGAATAATTGTCAATTAATTTCAATTAACCAAGAAGTGTGAGACAATTTGGCCAAGTTTATGATAATTTTAATGGGTCCCACCATGTATTTTTCTTATTGGATTGACTATGCATCTATTTTAAGATTTTGAATGAAAGGGGAAAACAAATATTTGAACCAGTGTATTTGTGGTAGTCCTTTTAATGGGTCTCACCATGTATGCTTTTTATTTGGTTGAGCATGCATCTATTAATTTAAATATTTTGAAAGAGTGATTTGAATTTTGAATTTTATTTGAAAATGTAACTAATCATTTCTAAAATACTGTTTTCTGTAAAATTAGAACGCCACATGTCTGAATGGAAAGAGGCTTTAGCCTGATGACCTTTCTTTAATATACATATAATAGATATGTCAGCTTTTCACGCTCTTAAAAGGGTTTGAATAAAATTTTAAGTTAAGATAACAAAATACATATCATTTTTTAATTATTGGAATTAATGTTATTTTTTGATAGGTTATCGGATTTATTGGAATTAATCATATTATTAGGAAATAAGTTTTAATCATAAATCAAATATCATTTAACTTCTTGAAATAAATGCAAAAGCCAATCTTATCTATAGCACTGATAAGTAGAAGCAGTGATTTATTACAAGTTAATTAAGAGTAAAATAACCAACGGTAGATTGAAAAATAAGTTGTAGATGAACCTGCCACAAAGGAGGGATATTTTTATGCTGTATTTGGTTTGAAAGAAAATTAAGGCAGGGAAAGGTAGGGATTTTTCGAGGTTTGTACAGGTTCCCCTACTTTTTCTTTCAAAGCAAACATAGGAAAACATGTCAGTCTCTCTCTCTCTCTCTCTCTCTCTCTCTCATTGGAGTTAACTAACAGGCCCAGTGCAAGGAAAAAGATGTTAGGGTTTATTGGGGTTAAAATTTGTTGCTCTATGGGGATTCACAATCCAAGGGTAGGGATGGCAATTTTCCCCCATCTCCATTGAGTATCTGGCCTCTCTAACCAAGTGGGAATGGGGAATTTGGGATGGGATTAATAGGAATACCTGATTGGGGACTAGGATGGGGACAGGGGTGAAGTTCACACCCTGCCCCGACCTCGATTATATATATTATATTAAATATATAATATATAATATTATTTATATTATATTATATATTTAAAATATTATTTGCATTTTAATTTTTCTTTATTTTAAATAAATACCTTTCTAAAAACAAACTTTTAATTAAAAAAATTTGGGGATTCAAGTCCCCGATGGGGAACCTATCTCCATTGGGGATCGGGGATACAAGCTAAATTTTTTCCTGATGGGGATTGGGGTCAAAGACAAGAATTAATTTGAAACTCGAGAGCAGGACGGGGAGTTTGATCCTCACTTCAAAACTAATCATTATCATTCCTACCCAAGGATCATCCCCCAAACCCATAAATATATTTCCAATAATTATGGTAATTAATTATAAATGTAGTATCCAATACTAATGGAACTTATTAAAATTTTCCAATCATTTATTAATTAGTTTAATTGTTGAATTACTATTGTTTATTATTAATTAATTATAGTAATTAATTGTCATTAAATTATAGTTACATAATTAATTACAGTTAATTACTATGGAATAATTACTATTAATAATCAACGTTAAATAAATTGTGTAACTGTTGATAATTATTAAATTACTGTTAAATATTGTTAGTTATTTTAATTAATAATATTTTTGGTAATAACTGTAAATTACTATAAACTATGTAAATTTCCATAAATTATGTAATGTAGTTATTTAACACTAAACTATGTATTTATTGCGGTAACTTCTATAAATTACAGTAATTTAGTGATCGTTAATTACTTTAAATGACCATTAATTACTGTTAATACTTAATACTAAATAATTAGTGTAACAATTGATAATTATTTAAATTAATTTTTTTTAATTAGGAATCCTCTCTTTCCTATATTGATGTTTCAATCACCATCTAAAGCACCAGTTAGGATGGTATGAAAACAACTAAATAAATTAATTAATTATATTTTCACAATATTATTTCCTATCAATGCATCAAAAGTGTAAACACGATAGCTATTTTACTTGAGTTTTACATAACATTTTCATTATTTTTTTTTCCTTTCAACTAAGGGTTTACATAATATATGGGCTTGGATTCTAAGCACGGGGGCTAACTATTTTTCAAGTTAGCCTCGGGCTTTCTAAAATAAGTCCAATCTAATAATATAATATTAATTTATTAAATTACATGGTATTGGGGGTGAGCAAATGGATAAGTTCTACATGGAATTGAATGGAATCAACTTCAAACCGGCCTTGAACTGACCCTACCCAATTTGACCGTTTGAAGGCATAACGGCTATTACTTCTTATGGCATACTTTTGATCTTGTTGGAAATTCAATCTAAATAATTCCTAGTATGGATTAATCCTTTTTAGACAACTTTGTAATGATGATATGCTTTCAATAATTATAAATCAATGGTTTTGTACTTTTGTCTTAAAGAAACTAAGGAACTTGATTTGTAAATATCAGCTATAAAAAGAGAACATAATGTGAGCAAAAGTCTTTCTAGAAGAACAGATTTCTATGCTAAATTAACTTGTAGTGAAAAAAACTGAGTAGCCTTTTTGGCTTATTTATTTCTCACTTATATTTGTTGAACCTCTTCAAGAGCTTAAGTTTGTACTTGTGCATTCCCTTGCTTTGATATAGTTTGATTAGCATTTGTTATTATATGTCTATAGCGAGGCATTTGTATTTATATTGTTGTCTATTGTATTTGAGGTATTCAAGAGTGGAACACCGTTGTAGGTGTGCTTGGAGGATTTCCTAAAGAGCCAAAGTGAACTCCCAGCTTGAACCTACACACATTGATTTTCTCCTAAAAGAAAATTTATATTTTTAAAAATCATTTCTGTTCATGAATTGTTTTTAATATTTTATTAAGCCAATCTATATAGATAGATATCTATATCTATCTTTTTTGGAATTTTTTAACTAAAGTACCTCTCTTTTTGAATTTGGTCACTCTCTATTGTGAGGGCAGAAATTGTAAGCTAGATATTACTTTTTAGTGCATTTTATTTACTCATTAAGTCTCATATTCAAGGCATTAACTCCCATTCTCTGTCTTTGAATCTTATATTTAAGGTATTTTTGTCCATCATTAAATTTCACTAATTAAACCCATGAACATTAATATTAATTGTATAAAACATATATTTTTAAAATAACTAAAAACTAAACTGGCTTTTCTAAGTGGCAAGTAGTTCTACCGTTTGGATCAAGTAGGAGAATCTATGATAAAATAATTAAATACTAAAAATTTAAAAATAGATAAAAGTACATAAGTAAAAAATTAGAAAATCTTAGGCACATCTCTAATATTATATTTTGTCATATTAAACAAAAATTGGTATGAAAAATAAAAAGTACTTTTATAAATGATGGAAATACGAAATTTGAAACTAATCCATAAATGAAACCATTTTCCTCCTTAAGCGATGGGCCAATGGTTCAATTATTCCCATCATTGGATCAACCCATGAAGTCTAGGAATGGCAACGGGGCGAGTTTGGGGCAAGGCACCCCGTCCCCACCCCGAAGTCACACCCCGTACCTGCCTCGTCCCCGGTGGCAGGGCGTGTTCTGAGCAAGGCATCCATTCCCCATCAAGGATGGGGAATCCCGAATTTTTCCCGCTCTAAGACAATTACTTAAAAATTATCTATTTTATGGACAATTTATACATAGGATATAGGAATTTGGGGGTATTTTATAATTGAATTATAATCTTTAGGGGTAATTCAAAAATAAAATTATGGGATCCTAGGATTTTAAAAATTTAGAGAAAACTTAGAGATATTTTAAATATTAATATTAAACCTAGAGATATTTTACTAATTTACCTTCGGGTTCGGGGAATTATATACAAAACCCATCCCCGTCCCATACCCGGTTCAGGGAAAAATTATTTTCCCCATCCCTGCCCCGTCCTTGTTTAGGGTTGGGGAAAACCTGCCCCATTCGGGGCGGGGCGGGGCCCGATTTTATGGGGGAAATTTCCATCCTTGATGAAGTCATAGTTAAATAATATTTTTTAAATAAAAATATTAAAAAATTACAATATGTATATAGTATAAAATTTTAGGCACATCTTTAATATTATATATTAATTCATATTAAAAAAAGATAAGTGTAATAAAAAAGAATTATTTGTATTAATTATATAATGAAATAGAAAATTTAAAGCCAAATGGATCAACCCATGTTGTTATAATTGAAAAATAAAATTAAAAAATATAGAAATACAAAAAGTAGAAAATTTTAATAGAATATTTGGCACATCCATCATATTAAATATAATAATTGTGATAAATAAGAATTATTTTTATCAATGGTGGAAATAGAATACAAAATTTAAAATTGTATCAATGTTTTCCATTCATGGAATAGTTCAAGAATTCAATAGTCTAGGTTGACCCATGATGTCACAATTAAATAATAAAAAATGAAAAAATAGATAAAACTACTAAAAACTATCGAAAAAAATAAAAAAAACAAAATATATAAAAAAATTAGAAGACATCCCTAATGTAATTCCTTCATTTATACAAAAAAATAAGTGTCATAATTAAATAATAAAATTTAAGTTTAGATAGAAATATAAAAGATCATATAAGAAATTATATATATATATATATACATCCTTGATATTATTATTACAGTTATTACTATCCAAAATTACTCATAAAACTATGCACATGCACATTTACTAATATATAAATAGATAGAGAATTTGACTATGATACCGTCAAAAAAACACTTGTAACGAATCAATTGGTTACTTTCTTATTGAACGATCCAACCACCTGCGTTTATAAAGAATTACAAACACTTGGATGATTTCTAGCCCCAGCTGTTAACATGGTGAATTAGGAGAGTTGTCTGCTGTTATTTTGGTGATCAGAAATTAATGTGTGGACTGTTATTGGTCATATTCTCGGGGCGCTCTCTGCCAATTAGATTGATGTTATTTCCCTACTGAATTACACGACTCTCAGTTTGTTCAGAATTTACAAACCCAATTGAACAAAACATTGATGAATGTGATTTTCGTAGCGACTGACGAGTTAGATGAGTTTCAACTTTCAAATAAGTACCTGCATTCTGATGGGCAGATCCAGGCCATCCGACTCTGGAGGGTGATCCGGAATAAGCTCATCCTCATCGTGCAGAGTAGTAGTACTGAAATTGTTATCAAAATAGTTGACAGCAGCCAGGCTACAATTGGAAGACGCCTCCACAAACCAAACACCTTCCGCAGTGCAGGAAACCTGGATATCTCCATTGCTTGATTTCTTCAGCCTCCCCGCAAGTGGATAGTATGGAACCAGAGCCCTGGACAAAGCCTCTCTTATGATCTTCGCGGGTTCATGGCCATGGCTGTATACATGCAATGATCTAACACCGTGCTGCACAACTGGTAGTTTGTCCATGAATGAAAGATCAAGCATGCCAGAGGGTGTCTTCTCTGCAGGCCGAACCATGCTTCGAGCTGATCTTATTACAGAGAAAGCCATAGCTAGTGATGAGTGAGAGGATCTGGATTCGTGAGAAACTACAAGAATAAAAGCCAAGTACGTGTTTTTATAGTTGGAACAGGCCATCTAATACAGTAATACTCCTGTAGTTTTTCTTGGACTTGGTGTTAGAAGTCAAGAATATGCTTGTTCTACAAGTTATCCCCATGTATATAATTCAGTTTGGTGGGTTTCACGGGTTAATGACTTGGGGTAGTTGCCATTTAGCCTGCAAGAAAACTAAAGATTGGACAAATTATTATTCATTAAATGTTCAATCCAAAGATTAGGAAGAAAATCTGATAGTGACAATTATAATACAAAAGTCCAAGCTATTTACTAATTGGTTTGGCCATATTCCACTTTCACTTAATAAACTGTTGTGTCTTTTCAGATGTATTTGCTTCTAGGAGTCTTGACGCTTATCTTTATTGGACGTTTTGTTTTTTCCATTTATTTTTATTTTAAGGCGAAATTCATTCACCAATGCTCAGCTACAATATAAGGTAGAATATAATAAAATGGACAAACAAAGTACTATATCCTAGACATACAAACAAAGTTAATCAAGCTACCAAAAGAACAGACCAAATTGCTGAAGCAAAATAATGTAAAAAAAAGTGAGCACGGGAGACCTCTGTAATTGGCGTAGAGATTTTGACAAAAAAAATGGAAAATTTCTTGATTAGTATTCTGTATTGTAAAAAAAAAAAAGTGTCAATTTAATACTTATTGATGAGGGCAGATTTGGCCCTCTACTAACATCATGACACATGGCATCTCGGAACAATTGGGTGACACCCAGAACCACCTAGGCGACAATTTGCCTTAGCCAAAATGATGGAGTCCCAGCTAGCGACCTGGCACTATCGCCGACTTGCCTCTAGTGCTGACCTAGCGACCTTCCTCTAGCGCCGACCTGGCGACCTGCCTCTAGTGCTGACTTGGCGACCTGCCTCTGGCGCCGACCTAGCAACCTGCCTCTGGTGCCGACCTGGCGACCTGCCTCTGTTGCCGACCTGGTGACCTGCCTCTAGTGCCGACTTGGCGACCTACGAAACGTGCTCGCCGTCGATTTCTGCATGCACCCCATTACTCCCGGGTCTCTCGGAAGTCAGCTCTCACACCAAATGTTTTGGGAGAAACTGAGTAAGGCGCAAAGATTAGCCTACGTGCACGACTACCTCCGAGGACTTCGGAGCAATTAGGCACGTCCTCCCAGAGATCCCGGACGTGTTGCGTGATGCTCATGCCAAATAGTGCCTAAATAAAGGCCTTACCTCCAACCCCAGTGGGGGGAGGCGCAATTTAGTTTTTTGAATCGCTAACTTAAGCTTCGGAGTTCCCACCCCGGGTAAAGCAACCCGGGCACTCTAACACTGTGCCCTTGCAGGTCGCATCAAAGCCACCTCTCTAGCTCGTCACCACTCAACTATACAACAGAGTCACCTCTCTAGCTCGTCACCATTCAGTTAGGCGTCAAAGCCACCTTCCAAGTAGGAACCATTCGGCCAGGCATCCAAGCCACATTCTAGATAGGGATTATTCAGCCAGGCATCCGAGTCACCTGTCGGCCGGGAGCTGCCGAAATGCACTTCATCAATTGGCGCCGTTTGTGGGAAATGCTACAAAAGGCTATGTCCTCACCCAATTCTCTGAGCCTCGAGTAATAACATCTTCAAGCAACAACAATAGCGCTTGATCAAAAGAACCCCCTAGGGGGGCAGAAGCAAAGTGATTAATCCAAACGAGTTCTCGCAGCCTTGCCTAGACAAAATCTCCTCAACTGTGAGGCCACTCCCATATGTCGAGCTCTACATGCTCTCTGCGAAAGTTGACAGCCAATAGAATGTGAGGCCACCCCACAGGTCGAGCCCTTCATGGTTCTCGTGGGAGTTGATAGCCAGCAAACTATGAGGTCGCGCCACAGATTGAGCCCTCCATGCTTTACGTGAGAGTTTATGACCAACAGGTTGTGGAGCTGCCCTTGCAGGTCAGTCTTGCCAAGGTGTCTGTAGGTTGAGGTGCTAAGAACAAAACTAGACTGCCAAAATTCTGATGACCCGGCGACCTAGAGACCTGCCTCCGAACTGGCAACCTGCTTCTGCCGACCTAGCGACACACGTAATCAGCCTGGACAAGCCTTGTCAGCCCTGTTCGCGAGGTCGCCCCTACAGGTCGAGCCCTTTGTGGTTCCCGCAAGAGTCAGCGGCCAACAGACTACAATCGCCCTTGCGGGTTGAGCCTTTCAAGGTTCCCGTGCGAGCTTTCAACTTGCAGTTTGTAAAGCTGCCCCCACAGGTTGAGCTCCTTGTGGCTTATCGTAGGGGTAGATGACCAACACCTTAAAGGACTAATACAGCGCAACCGTGGCACCGACCCGCTATTTAAATTCCAACATTGACACACATATCACAAGGGGAAGCCAAACTGCCTTCAGCATCAAGGACCCCTAAGCCGACCTCAAAATATGTTGGTAACAGGCCTAAGGACCTACAACAAAGCACAAATCTACTCCCTCCGCTGAGTTGGTCTCAGCTTGGGAGTGGGGGGCAATTGATAAGGGCAGATTTGGCCCTCCACTAACATCATGACACATGGCATCTCGAAACAACTAGGTGACACCCAGAACCACCTAGGCGACAACTTGCCTTAGCCAAAATGATGAAGTCCCAACTAGCGACCTGGCATTGTCGCCGGCCTGCCTCTGGTGCCGACCTGGCGACCTGCCTCTGACATCGACCTGGCGACCTGCCTCTAGCGCCAACCTGGTGACCTGCCTCTAGTGCCGACCTAGCGACCTGCCTCTAGTGCCGACCTGGCGATTTGCCTCTGGCGTCAACCTGGCGACCTGCCTCTAGTGCCAACCTGTCAACCTGCCTCTAGCGCCGACCTGGCGACCTGCTTCTGTTGTCGACCTGGCAACCTGCCTCTAGCGCCGACCTAGCGACCTACAAGACGTGCTCACTGTCGATTTCTGCATGAATCCCATTACTCCCGGGTCTCTCGAAAGTCAGCTCTCACACCGAATGTTTTGGGAGAAACCGAGTAAGGCACAATGATTGGCCTACGTGCACGACTACCTCCAAGGACTTCGGAGCAGTTAGGCACGTCCTTCCGGAGATCCCAAACGTGTTGCATGATGCTCACGCCAAACAGTGCCTATATAAAGGCCTTACCTCCAACCCTGTGGGGGGAGACGCAATTTAGTTCTCACAACTCTCCAACTCTCTTACATTTAGCTATCTTAAAAATCTCTGAATCACTAACTTAAGCTTCGGAGTGCCCACCCCAGGTAAAGCAACCCGGGCACTCTGACACTGTGTCCTTGCAGGCCGCATCAGAGCCACCTCTCCAGCTCGTCACCACTTAGCTAGACATCAAAGCCACTTCTCTAGCTCGTCACCATTCAGTTAGGCGTCAGAACCACCTTCCAAGTAAAAACCATTCAGTCAGGCATCCAAGCCACATTCCAGGTAGGGGTTATTCAGTCAGGCATTCGAGTCACCTATCGGACAGGAACTACCGAAATGCGCTTCATCAGTTACCTTTAATCAGCCGTTTACAAATGTCTTTCGAGCGTCATCTAATTTTCTTTATCAATCATACAAACATTGATAAAAAATGGTTGATAAAGAGAATTAGATGACACATTGGATGATAAAAAATGAACATTTGGAGCAGAAAAAACCCAAGAATGTGTATTCAATTGATCCTCAAGGCCCAAAATGAAACTCTTTTTTTATCTTTATCCTGAAATAGTTACAAACATAAGGCATGAAAAATCACACCAAAAGTCAAATAAGAAAATTACCTATTGCCATTTTCTTGCTCGAAGTTGTATCTCTCAACAGACCTAATCAAATAAGAAAGCTACCCGACCAAAAAACAAGATCACACCGCCCTTTAATCGGAAACTGTCTTCAATAAATATAGAAAACAACAGAAGGATCATCGTTCATCCAACCCAAAAACCCCTTCTCTCACAATGACAAACTCACAGGACGATTCCGGCAAATGTGGCGCAAAAACGACGTGCATTCTCCTCCTGGTACATACGAGGACTGAATTCCCACCTTCATCGTCTTTCACAGCAGTCTCTTTACCAGCAATCTCGTCCACCCTTGACAAGAAAAGCCTAGAATTTATACAATTGGCCCATGACAAACCCAGGGCTGAGCAAACCCGTCTTCCCGATGAATATAAACAGCTTAAATTTCCAACTCTCACACCGTTGGCAGTATCTGATCCGATCAAATCGACAACCTGGTTCGTAATCACAATGGCTAGACCAAACCTTTTTGCCCGCAATTTTAACTTCCCTGCAATCCCGAAAAAGAGCGATGACCTTCGCTTCAGATCACCTGGGGTGTTCTCAAATTCCGAGCGAAATAGTGCGGCAACTGAATCAATCACGATCAGTTTTACTGGTAACCGAGAAGGTGGGTTAGTGAGAAAGGTATCAATTCTGTCTAATAGGCCAAGCAATTCATCGGCGGACTGGAGTCCACGGACAAAGATGTGATCACAGGGATCGTGAGTGGAGAAAAGGTCAGGATGAGAGGAGCTAAAGGAAGAAGAGAGCTGTTGGAGGCGACGGAAAGGAAAGGGGAATTCCGAGTAGAAGTAAAGAGAGGAGGCAGCAAGGCCGCCCTGCGAGATGGGGAGCTGTGCGGAGAGGACGAGCTGGAGACAGAGTTGGGTTTTGCCGCATCCGCTCTCTGCAACAAGTTCGGTAATAGAGTTGCAGGGGATGCCGCCAGCAAGGAATCGGTCGAGGATCGGACAACCAGTGGTGCACTTCTGGGTGGTGAGATGAAGGGGATTTTCTGGTTTCATCGCTGCAGTGTACGCGCTATTTTGTGAAAAAGAGTTTGATAGCAAGTATGGAAGTGCAGGTTGTTACCGCGGTTTGGAATTTTTTCAACTTTCAAACCATGGCGCGAAATTTCAGTGAATGAAAAGAGTCAAGACCCACCCCGCAGTTATCATTTTCAGCCGGGCCCGGCCCGCCCCGATATTCCGGGCTTGGGTTTCGGCCTAGGTTTTATGTTCAGGCCTCACCCTATATCAAGCCTACAAACTTTAGGGCCGGTCTGGCCTCTACATATTTATATATGCTTTTGTACATAATTTAGGGTCCGTTTGATTTGCAGGAATAGGGGTCTGGAATCGGAATTATAATGGGCTATTCCGATTCCAATTGTTTGGTTAGGCGGAATCAGAATTCCACTCCCATTTTTGCTGGAATGGTATTCCCCCATTTGAGGGAATGGTCATTCCCTGCCCTTTCCTTGGGAATCAAATTTCATTCCTGCTTATTTTAATTTCTATTCTCATTTCTATCTGAACCAAATAAATTATGGGAATGGACCATTCCGATTCTGATTCCATAAGATTATCATTACTGATATTCAAACTAGAATCATGAATAAAAAAAAGATATTCAAACTAGAATCGACATCTACTGGACAGGGAAAACACAAAGTTGAATTCGATTTCATTTATTTAGTCAAATATTGATTCACAACAAGAAAAACATTCCAAGACTAAGGTGGTTCAATTGATTATTCACAACAAGAAAAACATTCTATGGCAGCAGTCAACTACTTAATGTTAATAGTATACTAGTTGAGAAGTCAACTACTTCGCACAAGAAATCTGCTAACATGTTTTATTTACTGTTTAAGCTATAAGGGCTCTTTCCTTTTCAAGTAAGCTTTGAAAATTCTTGGAATTCATCTCTAGAACTTTTCAATAGAAGATTGGTCAATCTTTAATAGATTAAAAATGATCATATTGTTCATTTTGATAACCCTAGATATATAATATTGAAGAATGAGAAAAAAATTAAGGAATAGATGAGAGATTCAAAGGGTTTAACAAGAAAAACAAGATGGAAACTATAGATAACCAAAAGAAAGATCTATTGAGCTTTCCCTGAACTGAATAAAGAGAAAAAATCTTGAGCTTGAAAGTATTGAGTGAGAAAAGCCAAAATTGCAGTTTTATCCCAAAAAGCCACATAGAGCCTAAGCATTTATTATGTTCTGTTGCATATTAAGATAGTTTGGCTTGTATTGCTTTATTAACATTATAGAGGCAAAATATTATTGGTTATTGATTGTAATATCATTGTATTTGCAAGAGAGTGGTAGCTTCTAATTGCTTAGAGGAATTCTAGTTTTACGTTGAAGTATTCAGATATTGAACACGGGAAAGGTCCTGTTGGCACCTAGAGGTCTAATTTGTATAATAGATTAAAACTCTCATGTTAGGGATGCAAATGACTTGGGTCGGATTGGATTTGAATCAAGGTATATCCGAATCTGATTTGATAGCACATATCCTAAATCCTATATGATCAGATCTCACAATTGGCAATTCGAATTCAGATTCGTTAAGGATGTCGGATATCTGAATATGATTAGATCTAAATGAAATTCTGAAAATTTTAATAAATTATTAAAAGAAGAAAAATATAATAATTTATATAAAGAAAAACAAAAATATACATGTCTTTTTATAAATAAATATGTTATGTGTGTGTACATACGTACATGTGTATGTATGTATATCAGATTGGATTGGATCCTTTTGAATCAGATATGGGGTAATTGGATTTCAATTTGATTTTCAATCGAATCCCATTATCAGATCCAATCCAAAAATAATCTTACAGAGGGTTATCCAAATTCGACAGAAATAGTATCGGATTCAGATCAGATTGGATCATGATCCGATCCATTTGTACACCTATCTTATGCGGTGTCCCTAAGGAGAGGATGTAGGCTATAAGAGTCGAACCTCTATAAATGCGTGGTGTTCTCATGTTTTCTATTCTTGCATTTTACTTGTGATTATTTACTACACCCAATTGTTTATCTTGAAACACAACACTCACACTCACTCGCATACTTACTCACCCAAATAGGGAGACCTTAGGTGAAAGATTGATTGAAGGACCCAATTTATCCCCCTCTTGGGTTTGACCACTTGGGTAATACAAAGTATCAGTATTGAGTATCGTATTAGACAACTTGGATGTGAAAACATATACATATACCCTTTGGAAATGCATGGATATAGGCAAATGATATAGAAACATTTGGATATGCTAGGAAAATACATACAAATTCTGTAAATATATCAACAACACTAAATTTAGGTCCAAAATAGCCATAAATAAGGATAAGTACATGGCAAATGTATATTTTAATGGTAAATATGAAAACATATATTACAATTAAGATAATGGGATGCATAGATATAATACAATTTTGTTGATATTCCATCAATCAAAACCTATGCAATTAATATATTTTAATTACTATATCAATTATTTTCTATTTTACTTGTTTTACTTTTCAACATTAATAAAATAGTCAAACAAATATTAAATTTCAAATGTTTGATAAACAATTATTTTATTTTTATAAACAATAAATATGTTAATGTAAAATGTAAATTAAAATATCAATCAATAATTTATAAAATTATATAATCTTAACTTAAAATATATCAAATCTATTAAAATTTCTAAGAATTAAATGCAAGTTCATAATTTTTAATTACCAAAATAATAATTCCATTATGAGCATTTTTATTTCTATAAATTTTCTAAAATAAAAAATCATTTTTAATATAAATGTAGATTAGTGGATTTGATAAATTCAATTTAATATTATATTCTTGAATATTTTATAAACAATTTTTTTTTGTAAAATTTAGTATAAATTAAAATATTAATTAATAATTTATAAAAATATATAAAAATTATAAGATACATATCATGTGCAAATTTATAAATTTTAAGTACTACAATAATTATTATATTATTAATATTTTTATTTGTATAAATTTATTGAGAGTAAAAATATAAATGTAAATTTGATAGATTATTTATTCCATTAACGTTTATAAAATACTAATTTTTCAATGTTATTCTTTTTAATTTTAAGTTGGATTTGTTGAATAAACATGTAGTATTTGTTTCTATTGCATGTTGACGATAAAGTAAATACAATTTATTTTATTTCATTTATTATCACAAGTTATATGGTGGCTTAGTGGCTCAAGGTTTTTGAGATTAAGTGACGGATTTGAATCACTTTAATTGCAAATTTTTTAATAGAGAAGTGTGTATTGGCCAATACCATGCCATATGCACTAATACTCATACGTTTCGTGTTAATATGCACGACTAGATGTGTATTGTGCTAGTCATGGTATACCTTATACTGATCCCTCTAGATACTGATATGATATGTTAGGCATATCATATTGAAAAAAAATGGGTGTGACAAAAATGCAAATGTTTAAATGGACGAATGGTAAATTAGGAAGGACGTGATTATAAATGAAGTTATACGAAGAAACCCAAGAGTAACTCTAGTAGGTGATAAAATGAGAGAAAGTAGATTGAAATGGTTTGATCATATTCATGGAGGACCATCTACAACACCTATTAGGAATATGTGATCAAGTTGAAACAGATATAAGTGCTTGGGGCAAACCAAAGGACAAGTGGAAATAACATTTTATATATTTTTTTATATTATTATATTACACTTAACATAGGATTAAGGGAGTGGGGGCAAATAAGGTGCATGTGAGATCCATTGAACTTACCATGAAAGGCCTACCATTATGTAGATTTGATTTTGTGCGTTAGAGATGTTGAGTGATCATATGGACTATTGGATGAAAATCATAACAAATGATTTGAGTGCTTACAATGTAACAGTGGATATGACACCTAAATGCCCAAATATATTCTATATAGTTGGGAGAAGGCTTAGATGATGATGATGATTTTTTATCCTATTCATTAATTTAGGTCGTTTTATTTTAAAATTGATGAAGGAAGATTTGGCCCGATCTCGTAAATCACGGCACGTGTCAAAAAAGCAAGTAGCTCGGCACTTAAAACAGCGTACCGAGGGTACAAACGCCAAAGGGAAGAGACTAGCGGTCCGAACTCCTTAGCAAGATGCCCGAACTCCCCACTTAGAGCTCGAACTCCCTACGAGGAGCCCGAACCCCCCCTTTGGTCCCGAGTCACACAAAAGCAGAGACCCAAACTGGCCCGTCTTATGACAGTTCGGGGCCCCCCTTATCCGAACTCAAGACTTCGCCTCACGCGCCGCCCCAGGTACTTCGCTTCCGGAGCATTGAACTGGACGAACCACGCCGTACCTGACACCGAAGGAGTCCGTATCCAGGGGCGGTGTACCCGACTGACTTGGGATCTGACGCTTGACGGCCGCATTTCAAACGGCCACATGTCACCGTCACCTGTCACCGCTACCTCTAGTTACAGAGATGGCTCGGACAAAAGGAGCAGTGACGGTTCTGCCCCAGCAGAGGTGATGATGCCCGAACTGGCAGAAGCACGGAAATACTCATTCCCGACCTGACAGGAGTCT